AAAAACCACCTTAAACTTCATATGGAACCAAAAGAGAGCCTGCATAGTCAAGTCCATTCTAAGCAAAAAGAACAAAGCTGGAGGCATCACACTGACTGACTTCAAACTAAACTACAAGGCTACAGTAATCAAAACAGCATGATGCTGGTACCAAAACAGAGATATAGACCAATGGAACAGAACAGAGGCCTCAGAGGCAATGCCACACATCTACAACCATCTGATCTTTCACAAACCTGACAAAAACAAGCAATGGGAAAGGAGTCCCTGTTTAATAAATGGTGTTGGGAAAACTGGCTAGCCATGTGCAGAAAGCAGAAACTGGACCCCTTCCTGATACTTTACACTAAAATTAACTCCAGATGGATTAAAGACTTAAACATAAGCCCTAACACCATAAAAACCCTGGAAGAAAACCTAGGCAAAACCATTCAGGACATAGGCATAGGCAAGGACTTCATGACTAAAACACGAAAAGCAATGGCAACAAAAGCCAAAATAAACAAATGGGATCTAGTTAAACTCCAGAGCTTCTGTACAGCAAAAGAAACAATCATTAGAGTGAACTGGCAACCAACAGAATGGGAAAAAATTTTTGACATCTACCCATCTGACAAAGGGCTAATATCCAGAATCTACAAAGAACTAAAACAGATTTACAAGAAAAAAACAAACAAACCTATTCAAAAGTGAGCAAAGGATATGAACAGACACTTAGCAAAAGAAGACATATATGAGGCCAACAAACATATGAAAAAAATGCTCATCATCACTGGTCATTAGAGAAATGCAAAACAAAACTATATTGAGATATCATCTCATGCCAGTTAGAATGGTGATCATTAAAAAAATCTGGAGGCAACAGATGCTGGAGAGGATGTGCAGAAATAGGAACACTTTTACACTGTTGGTGGGAGTGTAAATTAGTTCAACCATTGTGGAAGACAGTGTGGTGATTCCTCAAGGATCTAGAAATAGAAATTTCATTTGACCCAGCAATCCCACTACTGGGTATATACCCAAAGTAGTATAAATCATTCTATAGTAAGGACACGTGCACACGTATATTCATTGCATCACTGTTTAAAATAGCAAAGACTTGGAACCAACCCAAATGACCATCAATGATAGACTGGGCAGGGAAAATGTGGCACATATACACCATGGAATACCATGCAGCCATAAAAAATGATGAGTCCGTGTCCTTTGTAGGGACACGGATGAACCTGGAAACCATCATTCTCAGCAAACTTACAGAAAAACAGAAAATCAAATACCGCATGTTGTCACTCATAGGCGGGTGTTGAACAATGAGAACACATGGACACAGGAAAGGGAGCATCACACACTGGTGTCTGTGGCGGGGATCTAGGGGAGGGACAGTGGGGGGTGGGGAGTTGGAAAGGGATAACATGGGGAGAAATGCCAGATATAGGTGATGGGGAGGAAGGCAGCAAACCACATTGCCATGTATGTACCTATGCAACAATCTTGCATGTTCTTTACATATACTCCAAAACCTAAGATGTAATAAAATATATTTTTTAAACAAGAAAACTAAACACCACATGTTCTCACTCATAAAGGGGAGCTGAATAATCAGAACACATGGACACAGGGAGGAGAACATCACACACTGGGGCCTGTCAGGGGATGGGGTCTAGGGGAGGGATAGTATTAGGAGAAATACCTAATGTAGATGATGGGTTGATGGGTGTAGCAAACCACCATGGCATGTGTATACTTATGTAACAAACCTGCACATTCTGCACATGTATCCCAGAACTTAAAGTATAATTTTTTTAAAAAGAGGAAAAGAATACTCCTAGCAAACTAGGTGTAGAAGGCAATTTCCTTAAATTGATAAATTGGTGGACAACTGAAATTATGAATTGTGCTTTAAACATTGGGAACAACATATGAAAGTTCATTATCCCCAACATATTAATGGTGTATCACATATATTAACAGTTACTAAGGCATGTTAAAAAGAAAAAGAAATGTAAGATCAGAAAAGGAAAAACTACTACATTGTATTAGGTCCAAATGTGATTGCATACTCAGAAAATACAAAAGTATCTACAAATTAGCAACTAGAATAAGCAAGAGAATGTGGCAGGCTATTGGATAGGAAACCAACTTTTTAAAAACCCCTGTGTTCCTGTGTATAAGCACAGTGAAAAAATAACTAAAACAATCATTTACAACAGCATGAAATATAGCAAGCTCTTTGGAATAGTTAACCAGTAACAAAATACAAGACCACTCAAGAAGAAATTACTAAGCATTATTGATAGAACTAAATAAATGAGATATGTCTTTTTGTGTATCGGGAGACTCACTGATAGATATAATGCAATTCAATACAAGACGCCAACATATAGGTAGGTTGAGCGCAGTACATGTGCACATAACTTGCTAAGTTTATATTTCCAATTTATTTGGAAGTGTAAAGTGGAAGAAGAGCCAAAATTCTCTTTAAGAAGATGAGAAGACTTGCTGTTGTGGGTATCAGGGTTTATTATAGAGCTATATTAATTAAGACAATGCATTGTGGGAACTGGGAATTACAAACAGGTCAATAGAAAAGAATAGAGAACCCAGGAACAGATCCATGCACCAATGAATATTTGGTTTATAACAAAGATGTCCCTGCCAAGCAGAGGAGAGAAAAATTTCAATATCTTTTGCCGGAAAAAAATGAGTATACAGGAAAATTATAAAATTGAATTTATCTTCACACATATTTTTAAAAGGTATATTAGAGACTCCAAAGTTTCATAATTTTTCTTTGATATTTAAGAGATAATATAGAATTGGAATATAATACATGGGATATAATGGGTTTCTGTAAATATTGTGAAGACGTTTTTCTCTCTCTCCCATCTATATGGTTTCTCCAGACCAAAGGTCTGCATGCAAATAAAGGATAATTGGAGAACAGGTGAAGTTCTAGCCACTGGGATGGGACAAACTGATTTCATCATCGTAGGGGGAGAGCAGCAACAATATTTGGAAAGACCTTAGAACCTGGAGGTGTGGAGACTGCGGAGAATAATTAATGCTCTTTTTTTTTTCTCCTAGATGCAGCATTGCAGGCTGGCAAAATAATTATGTAATCTGTGGAGTCTAAGCAGCAACTGCAGCTGACAGACCAACCCATTGCCTGGTTTATCATGCCTATCTGTATACTATACAGACAGAAAATCTTGTGTAGACATAGCAGGTCCTGACCTACTTTGCTGTGCCTGATGACATCAATAGCAGCCTCCTAATGTGGAGCCTTATCATATGTATACAAACACAATCACTAGCACAACCTTGTTTCAATCTGATACAAATCTGCAAGCTTCTCTTGATGCCAGAACAGTCTTGGGATATACCATGCATGGAAATGAGGCAGCTACAACTACCAGTGAGACTGCTCAGCTGGCTTAACCAAACTAGTGCAATAGCTACCCAAATAAAATATAATAGCAAATCCAAAATTAGAGTGACCTGTGCTCCTTTCAGTTACATGCTTGCCTGTGGGGAAGAGTGGACTGCTAACTATCTCTTTACTGTGGAAGACTGTTACTTTTGGGCCATCTTTTGCCCTTTATTTATTGCCAGAGATGCCAAAGAATGGCAGGTCATTTGAGACTCCCTTTTATGGGTTCTAATGTATAAAAGACCTATTAGTCCTTCTTGGGACTTAGTCAGTTGACTGAGTCAGAACCCTGTGGGAACGTTTGAAATTAATACTACAAGTTGGCCTCATCCTGTACCTGGAGTCTTGTTATTAGTAGCTTTGATTAAAAATGAGATTAATTGAACAGATTTGGTCCCAGTCTCTGTGAATCAGAGTGGCCAATGGAGCAGCATATTCATGTGAAAATTCACCAGAAGCCAAGACTTCACTGTATAGAAACAAGGGGTAGATATTCTTCCATAGGTCTTTCTTTCCCTACATGTTTGCAAACAAAAATGCAAGGCCCTGACAACTCTTTACCTGAGCCATTTTCCAGGGTTGTGTTTGTAATGAGCAACCTTGAGGGACAAAGAACAGGCTTATTACTGCTTGTTGTAAAATCCCGGTTCTCTCAATCTCAGTATTGCATGTTCAGGCATCTGTCTGGGCCCTCTTCATCAGCCCTGTGAGACTAGTGGACAAAAGGAACTGATACAAACATGCTAATGCTCATGTTTTGCTCTGTTGCAAGTAATAAAGTCCTTTGTCTCTGATAAGAGTCTTGTGGGTTTTGTTTTGGGTCAGCATCATGAAACAGTAGCAAGTAGATTTATTAGGTTATAAGTAGGATAAAATTAAATTACAGACCTCACAGTTTTAGCATCATCATTGTTATTATAAAAATATACAGTCAGTGGAAATATAAAAGGTGCGTTTTCTTGGAAGAGTCAGGGGAGATTTCTCTGGAAGACTTAAATTTCTAAAGGCTGAGACATATCATTATGTCTGAGCTTCCCACATATTGAGCACAATTTTTGACCCTGACATCAAGAATTCATGTTGAGTAAGTGAAAATATACTAGCCAATATCAGTTCAAAATTAAATAAAATCTAAATACAGAACTGAACATAAGAAATGTCCACAACACAGAATGTGATTTTATTAGCTTACAAGTTCCTTAAGAAAATAGTATTTTACAGATAGAAGATAATTAGTAAAATCTTAAATTTAATTAAAAAATCAATTCAAAGACAAATAGAATATCTTAAGGATGACAGAACATGGAAGACCCAAACTAGGTACCTGTCCAAGGTACTAAAGTATCTGTCCAAGGTACTAAAGAGGACAGAAAGAAACAGGAAATATGGCTTCTACACTAAAGAACATACAGTACATTGGCCCATTTATTTGAAATTTAGATTCTTATTTCTGAGAGTAACTTACCTTCTATCCCCATTTATTTTTCTCCCTCTTTCCATACACTAGATATCTTCTAGCTATACCAGCTACCAAATAGGCATCATTTTCCTAATGGAAAACTGAACTCACCCAAGCCTCTGAATGTTACAGTTTGGATGTTGCAAAGCGTCACACAGAATTTTCACTCCATCATCCTGCAAATTGTTGTTCCCAAGGTCCAGACTCCTCAGGTTTGGGTTGTTCAGAATAACAGAAGCCAGATCCAGACAACATGCATTAGTGAGAACACAGCCCATTAATCTATAAGAAATACAATAGGAAAAGTGAATCCTTCCATTGTGAAGAGATGTTCCCAGGAAATATACCCAGGTATTTGAAGGTCTTTTCTGTCTCTTTTCTATCTGCAATCCAGGACATACATGAAAGGTTCTAATTTATCAGTAAAAGAGAGGATTTCTTAATGAGCAGATGAAACCAGCAGGTAAAATTGTCTTCTTCCACAAACAACTTATCTACTTCTACAAAGACCTTCAAAAGTCTAGGATATAAGTATTTATTTTTACCAATACTTTAAAAAAACAAATATAAGCTTTCCCAAGAAACCCATGGATCTCTGTGCTTTCAGTTTTTAATATATCTTTAAGTGAAAAAAGTTTCCAGGAATCTATCTCAAAGTATTATCTCCAAAGAAGAAAGCTACATATAAAAAAGATATTTATTCCAGGTCCTTTGCATGGCATTCAAGAGCACTTCCAATCTGGCCGCAAGCTTTCTCTTTCCATATTTTACCCCTATGTTATTCTCTAACCATACACATGCATCTTCTCCAACTATACCATATTTGTTGTTGTTTTTCTTCTACTTTCTCTCTCCTTTTCTTCTGTTTAGCATATCCCCACATAAAAGAATCTTCATCATTTCTCAAGCCTAAAGTAACTCTGTCTCTACTGTGAAGTCCCAACCTTAATCCCTGAGACTTTTGCCATATCCTTACAACAGCATATGGAATATATTATCATTGGCTTTATATTTATTTTCCTGTTATCAGCATTTTATGTTACTTGAGAACAAATGCATCACCTTAGTGACTTTTAATTCCCTTGGCATCTAGCTCATATTGGTTATAAACATTGCTTAAGAAACTTGACATGGTATGCATAGAGGATTTGAAGGTAACTAAGTACAGCTTTGTTTATAGCAATGGTAAGGAGAGAAAATGGGCTAGCAGAGGCCCTGAGTATATAGGTCACTTAGAAATTATATCTCTTTAGTTAAATGAAGTCATTGGATTTAGCAAAGTTTTCCATTAAGTAAAACTTTGTCTTCCAGTTGAATAATGATCAATGTAATTCCAGAGAATCACATAGTAACCCATATCATCTATATTTTCCTAAAGTAAATAAAGGTATTTATTGGAGTGTAATTACCTTAATGTTTATAGGTGTCACATTAAACTATTAAACTGATTTGAAAGTTTAGTTATTATGAGTCAGTCTGGTCAAGACAAATACTTCTGGGTCTACCAAAGAGCTCGACGTTATAGATCTAAAAAACTATTCTGAGGGTAGACCCTTAATGACTCACGAAAGTTACTGGTCACATGGGAGGCCCTGGTAGGAAAATGAGCTGAGATTTCTAAGTGATATCTCTGTCTTGATTCACTCCAGCCAAAATATTTATGCAATGAAATGCTAAATACCATACAGTCATTAAAATAATCAAGAAGATAATTCAAAATAAGTATTGTATTTCTTTCTTTATTCTCAGCATGCACACCTTGATAAATGTATTTCTGAAATACCATCTAGAGAAAAGGAAACCCCAAAGTCATGTCCATATAGCAATCACAATTATGTATACACATACAATGCATATGTATGTATACCTGCTCACAGACTGAGAGAACATAATATTAATAAAAATGGTTGGAGTTTAAAAATGTGCAGGATATTGTTAAAAATCCCCTTCTCATTCTTTCAAAGTTGACTTAATTACAAACTTGAGTTTAAATATATATCTAAAAGAAAAACTAGTGGAGCACAATTTCAGCTTCATGGAAAGAGGTAGAGGACACACAGTAGATTCACTAGGGCACAACCAAGGAAAGAATAAAATGGCTACTGTTCAGATTGATGCCTGTGATCCTCCTTACCCGAGGAAAGTTGATTAGAATTACTATGGTAATTATTTTTAAAAATCTGATGAGCAGACTTCCTCAGCTTGTCTCAGGCAGAATGAGAGAAAATAAGCTGTATATTCTTTTCTCTGATAGTTCTCAGTTCTCAGTCTTTCTTTATTTCCCCAGACACTCTGTTGTTGAAACTACACAAAAGTAAAGTAACAGAAAACCTACTCCAAATCCTGAAGATTGCAGCTTGGATGCCGAAAGACATCACACAGAAGCTTCACTCCATTGTCTTGTAGAGAGTTTGATCCTAGATCCAGATGCGTCAGGCTCTTGTTGTGTAGAAGAGAAGCTGACAGATGCTCAGAGCTAAGTGAAGTGAAATGACAACACCTCAGCCTACAGGATGGACAACATGAGGAGAGATGGAATCATTGCTGTACTGTCCAGAGATTTCTCTCTTCGAAAAGATTTCATGATTTGATCCCTATCTATTTGCCAACATTTCATCTCAAAGGAAACACCCTAACTGCCAGCCTATCTCATTTGAGAAATAGATTTACATCAAATTGGGCTACAAACTAGATTCATATTCTTCAGCATTTTTCTTAGGATACATCAAATGCTAACCTTGTTACGTTACGTATATATATGTATAGTACCCTGTTGCAGAACTAGCTCCATGGAACAGAGAAACAGATCAAGTAGAATAGGGGAAATCACAATAAAGTAAGTACTCTTTGTATGTAATAGAAGTGTCATTTTCAATCTGTAAGGAAAATACATATTATATCATTACTGCTTTTTGTACAACAGATCTGATATGGGGGAGAAATAAGTTTAAGCCTTATAACAAAATAAATTTGGAATAATTTAACATGTAAATGTTAAAATTAAACTATAAAGAGTATGAGATGACATAAGCATAATTTTTTAAAGAAAGATACTTCCAATTATGACAAAACTTCTTGAAGTCATGAGGCAGAATTTGACATCACAAAAAATTTTAAACTTATCTGTTCTAAAAATGACCATAAAGTTAGAAATAAAGCAACATTCTAAGAAAATTATTTATAATATATATAATGTATATGTGGCATGAATAACTATAATATATAAATATATAATAGACAACATCAGAAGATAACAGCCTATGAAGAGGAAATTCCTGAATATAAAAGGCCAAAAACACTTGAAAAAATGCTCAACATTTAAATTACTTTTAAAAGTTACTTTTCCAACTATCTAATTATCATTGGTCAAAAAGATTGCAGATGTCCAATGAAGGTGTTAAAGTGTAGGCCCCTAGACTGCTGCTGGGGATATGAACAATCTATCTGGGAGGCAATTTCACTATATTTTACCAAGTTAAAACTTTGGCTTATTAATTCCATGTTTATAAAATTACCTAACAAAACAGAACAGAATAATCATAATGTGATTCAGACATACAACAAAGTGCTGTATTTCTGTTCTGAGCTCAGATTATAGAGTAGGATAGGGGGTAGCATTTAATTCTGATTTCTTCATTTTCTTGTGAGACATTAAGCATTATCTTTCCAAGGCTTACGTTCATCACCTGTAGAGTGAGGCATCTCAAAATCAAGTGGCCAATTTGACACCATCAGATACTATTGTGCAAATTAAACATACTCAACACAAGATCCAGAGTAGAGTTAGGACACAATAAATGGCAATTATTAATATCATCATCACCTTCTTTTTCATTAAGGATAACAGGAAAAAAGCAAGGGACAGAATGTGTTAATAACATTTTACTATTTTAAACTTATTTCTAAATACATAATATATTGAAAGGATAAAAACTTGAAAACTTACACAAGGCTCTGTAGAATACATTGTGGATGTTGCAAGGCATTACTTAAAAGTTTTACTCCACCATCTCCCAAGACATTGTCTGCCAAGCACAAATGTGTCAGTCTTTTATTGCTGATGAGAGCCAAAGAAAGATCCTCACAGCCAGCCTCTGTGAGACCACAGCTTTCTAAGCTGAAGGAGAAACACAGATGGGAAAGGATCTGTCAATTCCTGAAGCTTATGCTTCTCTTCTCCTTTACAGGGAAATCAGTGGGACTTACAACCCCCATACATCAACTATAGAAGAGACCTCAACAAACCTATTTAAATTATGAATTCCATGCAGCTGTGTCCAGGATATGATGAAACAAAACATGGAAGGCAAGAAAGAAAGCTTTAAAGAGAATGAAAATAAAAAGGTCAATCAGAAAAAAAAGGTAGGCCTAAAAGTGAAATAAGAGAGGGAAGCAGAGGAAGAGAAAGTAGATGCATGTAGAGCTTATTCAGGATTGACAATCAAGCCAGTTAGCGTCAAGACCCAACCAGTTTCCCCATCAGATCGTAATTAAGCTACACAGAATCAAGCAAAATGACTCCACAGAAAACAAAACAGAAACACTCACGACAGTCTCTCTAGATAACATGCTGGATGTCTTAAGGCCTCACACAAAAGCTGCACTCCATCATCCAACAGATTATTGGTTGAAAGATTCAGAAATATCAGGCTCTGGCTTCTGATGAGAGCATTAGATATATTTAGACAACAAAATACAGTTAGATTGCAGGATTCCAACCTGGAAAACAACACAGAAAAACAGAAATTACCACTCCTTAGAGAAAAATTACAACCAACACCCACCGAGCCTGAAGGTAGGAAGTTTCCCAATCTTTGTGATCTTGCCTGAAAATCCAACTTCTCTACACAGAAAAAAAAGCTATTTAATTAAAGCATAAGGCTCTGACAGAGTCAAGAAAGGAAGGGAGGGAGCTTGTTTATCACATTCCCACTCCCTTAATTCATAAATATATGAAAATATATTTGAGAGGATTCAAAAGTATCTTTAAATGACAATATTTTTTAGTCTGGGAAGAATTTCCTCTAACTACAACTTGGAAGACAATGGCTCAAAGGATGACTGTATCCTTCTACACTCCAACTTCTGAAACAGAACAGAAATGGACAGGGAATTGGGAGCAAAGTGTGTCTCCCATAGCTCATTTATTCATGAGCCCATGTTTTCTGAGGAATCCAGTTCTTAAGAGTGAAAAACAAGAAGCAAATCCTACATAAAACAAAATTGTTTTTAAAGATAAAGTAAAAGAGGAAGAGAAACAGGAAAAGTCCATGTAGAGAGACTCATATTTAGAGACAACTTGTGCCTTGTACATGGTCGGGAGTGAATACTAACTCTTTTGCAGTAAGAGTCAGGCAGCAGCAGCAGCATTTCTGGTATTTGGAATTTATCTGGGTATTCCTTTTAATCAAGACTTACCAATTTGAGCCACTCAAGAATTGTTTCTTTTCATCAAAATCAGGGTATATAGAGGAAGGAACAAGAGAGCTTCCTCTTCAGTCCAGAATTAGATCTTAATAGATGACCTAGAACATGGGCTAAGGCTGAAAAAGCTCAGCTTGCCTAAAATCGCAATTACTTTTGCACCAATACATAACAAATAATCGCCTTAAGTTAAAAACAGGCAATATTACTTGGAAGTTTCTGGACACAAATATACACAGAACAAAATGAAAAATATATATATCCCATTTATGGAGGAAAAATGGTACTGAAAACATTTAAAAATGTTTCTAACTATAAATATTAAATGCTTGGTAGTCCATTTTCTGTCATCCTTTCCATATTGAGTTTCTCGAGATTTTGTCTTTTTGTATTAGTGCTAATATAATTTCAGCTATGGGACTGCCTAACTCTTTATGTGTGAAATCTCAGCCTCATAAAAATAAAATGTTTCCCCTTTCCCTTGCAGCTGCAAAGAAAAGCAGAGAGTATTACAAATCAGAAAATTTTTTATAAGAATGATTTTGTCTCATTATAATAAGGAAATCTTATAAGATACCTGGACTTTAGAAATTATTGCTATGCCTTGTGAAAACAACCCTTACCTACTATTAAGTCTGTAATTTTTATCAATTGTCTTACTTTGTGTCACTCTTGTAGTAGCCACATTGATATTTCTGAATTCCTAAATTTTACAAATATTGTAAAGATTTTTTTCAAATGAGAAAAAAATACACTCTCCTCTCACATGTATAAAGTAATAAAAAATATAACTCTTTTCTAGTTTTCTAGAGTTTGGAGGTTTTTTCTCACCTGTATTAATTATAATATCAATCACCAGTGATTCAATAAAAGGGAACTAACCCCTAAATATAAGCCAGCAAAACGAGACAGATTAGCTTATCATTTATATTTAGCTCCTTCTTAGGAGCCTGCACAGCTTCCTCATAATAGTGCCACCAAAACAACACCCTTGGATAAAAATTCCCAAGGCCTGAACCCCCTTAAAAGTAAGCAAATTATAAATGGTTTTGTTGTCCTTATTGCTTGCTGTCTGTATCTCTTATCAGCTGCTATTAAGTAAAGGTCCATAAGGTGGTAAAAATGCTGTTGACTTAGAGAACCTGAGTTCCATCTATCTAGAATAAGCTCTTGGTTTGAAGTTAGTCAGGGTAGGATTTTAACTGATGCAAGATGCTGGAGCTTTCTTTATGAGTTGAGCCCTGTTGGAGTAAGTTCTCCTGTCCTGCTAACAAACTAGGATCAGAAAACTGCTATCACCTGAAAAAGTGGCTATTCCTCCGTAAAGAGTAACTGCTACTCCTGAAGATGAGCTCCCAGGGACTCAGAGAAGCTGTGTGAATATATTTTTCCCTTCTGAAAATGTCTGCTGTGTAATTTCCAGGTTGCTCAAGAACTTCATATTTATTTTTGCTTTTTGAGTATAATATTCTTTTTCTAATATGAATAGAAATTGAGAGACAGGAGAGTTGTTGCTGAAGCTATGTGGCTGCAGGAGCTGTTTGTTTCTAAGGATCAATATAAATGTACTGCAGGTGGCAGAAGAATAATATTTCCAAGAGAAGGAGCATTTCCATTAACAGGATAGGCTTCATGGGCCTATTCTAAATCAAGGTGAATCATTAGATAAATTAATTGGCTGTGTAATTTGAGATTTTGATTTTACCACAATGAGAAATAAAAGTACCACATGCAGAGATAAAGCTATACATCTACAGTGGACTCATTTTTGACAAAGATGCCAAGAGCATACATGGTGGAAAAGACAGTCTCTTCAATAAATGGTGCTGGGAAAACTGGATATTCACATGTAAAAGAAGGAAACTAGACTACTATCTCTCAACGTATATAAAAAAAAATCTAAACAGATTAAAAACTTCAATCTAAGATTTCAAACTATTAAACTATAAATATAAAACATTGGGGAAACTCTCCAGGACATTGGACTGGGCAAAAAGATTGCTTGAGTCATACACTATAAGCATAGGCAACCAAAGCAGAAAGGGACAAATGGGATCATATCAAGTTAAAAGCTTCTCTACAGCCAAAGAAACAACCAACAAAGTGAACAGAGAAGTAACAAAATGGAAGAAAATGTTTGCAGACTACACACTTGACAAGGGATTAATAACAGAAATATATAAGGAGCTCAAACAACACTACAGGAAAAAATCTAATAATCTAATTAAAAATGGGCAAAATATCTGAATAGAAATTTTTCAAAAGAAGACATACAAATAGCATATGCAAAGGTGCTCAACACCATTGATCATCATAGAAATGCAAAACTACCGTGAGAGATTACCTCACTCCAGTTAAAATGACTTATGCAAAAGTCAGTTAATAACAAATACTTGTGAGAATGTGGAGAAAAGGGAACCCTTGTACCCTGTTAGTAGCAGTGCAAATTAATACAATTATTATGGAGAACACTCTGGAGTTTCCTCAAAAAACGAAAACTAGAGCTACTATACAATTCAGCAATTCCAATGTGGAGTATATACCCAAAAGAAAGAAAATTAATATATTGAGGTATCTCCACTCCCATGTTTTCTGCAGCACAACTCACAATAGCCAAGATTTGGAAGCAATCTTAAATGTCCATCAAAATGTGAATGGATAAAGAAAATGTGCTACACACACACACACACACACACACACACACACACACACAAAATGGAGTACTATTCAGCCATAAAAAAGAATGAGATCCTGTCATTTGCAACAACAACATGGATACAACTGGAGATCATTATATTAAGTGACAAGCCAGGCACAGAAAGACAAACTTTCCATGTTCTCACTTATTTGTGGGAGTAAAAAATTAAAATAATTGAACTCATGCAGATAAAGAGTAGAATGATGGTTATGAGAGGCTGGGAAGGGTAGTAAGGAAAAGAGGAAAAGAGAGGGATGGTACAAAAAGTAGTTAGAAATAATAAGTAAGTCTGAGTATTTGACAGCACAACAGGGTGACTATAGTAAAAAATAATTGTACATTTAAAAATAACTAAAAGAGTATTCTTAGGGTGTTTATAACAGAAAGGATAAAAGTTTGAGGTGATAGATAGCCCATTTACCCTTATGTGATTATTATGCATTGCATGTCTGTATCAAAATACTGCATGTAATCCATAAATATACACACCTACTATGTACCTACAAAAATTGAAAATAAAAAATTGAAAGTAAAAAAATACAAAATCCTCTTGGAAAAATATACAAATAATAGCTTTTTCAATCACAAGGTTCTGGTTTTTTTTGTTTGTTTGTTTGTTTGTTTGAGACGGAGTTTCGCTGTTGTTACCCAGACTGGAGTGCAATGGTACAATCTCGGCTCACCGCACCCTCCGCCTCCTGGGTTCAAGCAATTCTCCTGCCTCAGCCTCCCAAGTAGCTGGGACTACGGGCACGTGCCACCATGCCCAGCTAATTTTTTTGTATTTTTAGTAGAGACAGGGTTTCACCTTGTTGACCAGGATGGTCTCGATCTCTTGACCTTGTGATCCACCCGCCTCGGCCTCCCAAAGTGCTGGGATTATAGGCATGAGCCACCGTGCGCAGCCGGGGTTCTGTATTTCTTTAATGAGAAGTGTAAATTAAAGAATTTCCTAAGTATCCTACAATTCTCTTGTAGACATATAATTGTTATATTAACATGTTAAAGTATATAAATACATGTAATTAAAATGAGTTAAGTAAATGGCCAGCATTTTTATAAACTGGAAGCTTGTAAATCTGGGTATCAGCCAAGACTGTAAATATTTTATACTATCTGGGTCAAGTTTTGAGGTATCATACTGTTTGGCTAGATTGTTAGTTAACAACAGTGGTTATATTGTTCCTAATAGTAACTTAAATATAGTTTCCAATCTTACTGATTTTGAAATGTTGAAGTAATACAATATTTTAAAAATTAGTTCTTAATTTGTTTATCTAAATGTTTCTAGAGAGGTTTAGTTTCAAAGAGAGAAAATAAATCAGTTTTACCACACAATTTGTTATCCATTTGTTCTTCATACTATTCAAATAAAGACAGTAAAATCAATATATGGTTTTATATTCCATATTGAGATAAAAAACTTTTGGTCTCAATCATTAAAAAATATTTAACTTACACCTTATTTGGTATAATTATGATGCTATGTATACACATATATCATGGTTTATCAATGAATAAATGAAACACATTTAAATGGAGAAGAAGACTGGTAGTTTAGTCTCTGCTTGCTGGGCAGTCTGCCCAGGTGGCAGAACTTCTGGTTTTAAAGTGTGTATTCTCATTTCTCCAAACTCTGTTTATATTTATGATGACTCATTGGACACTTCATGATTATAAACAACTGTAGTGAGCCACAAAGCTTCCTCACTCCTGAAGAAGAAAAAATTTCTATTGGTCTGTATGCTATCTACCTGTTAAGCAATATTTTACTCTAGTTGATAATGAGACACAGCTGTGGATATTTGCCATTCTCAGGCAAGTTCCTCTTAGCCAACTTTTGTTGTTGTTTTGACTTTTTTAAAACACCGAGTCTTGCTCCGTTGGCCAGGCTTGAGTGCAATGGTGCCATCTTGGCTCACTGCAACCTCTGCCTTCCGGGTTTCAAGCAATTCTCCCATCTCAGTCTCCTGAATAGTTGGGATTGCAGGCATACACCACCATGCGTGGCTAATTTTTGTATTTTTAATAGAGCTGGAGTTTTGCCATGTTGGTCTGGCTGGTCTCAAACTCCTGGCTTCAAGGTGCTCCAAAGTGGTCGGCCTCCAAAAGGGCTAGAATTGCAAGCATGAGCCACCACACCTGGCCTTATCTAATATTCCAAAATATTTGTCCTCTAATTCCATGCAGATATAGTGAGTGCTCTGCATTTATATACCATTTTGTTACCCTTCAGGTGGCTGTTTGGTGGAAGCAACAATCGTTCCTTCACCTTGCTTAAAAAGCCCCAATGGCAGAGCATACACAAACTAAGAAGAGATTCTGGGCATAATCAGAAATTACTGGACTATGCCAAGGTTTTTGTTTTTGCTCCCTTCTTGCTCAGCAAATTTTAAGAGCTCACTTTAAAGCATATTTTAAGAACTATTATAAGGTCTATGATATGGAAAAAATTATCAAGACAAGGAGAATAGATCTTTCTTCTCTTCTTGAGAGGAGCCTTTGGTAAATATTTTAGTAAAGTATTCTCAGGAAAATTAGTGATTATTTGTGTATCTTTTCAGTATGTTCATGTACAAGGGCTCACGTGAGCAATTTAAAATTTTAAAAGATATTTTATTTCTAAATTAACCAAGTTTTCACAATAACTGGGGATTATGTGTTGGAAGGCAGACTGGCAAAGTCCTACTGATGTATGTACACTACTGATGTATCAATACTACCCACATCATCTAGAAACAGAGAGAGTATAACATCAAAACGCAATTCTAAAAACATGTGCCTGGTCTATACACAAACCAAATTAATGAGGATATTCATACTGCCCATGGCTCTTACGAGATATGAAGCAAACAGAAAACTTAACTGTCTCCCACATGAAATGTTAATAGGACCACTGATTACCCATCAGTGGCCACCCACACTGGGGGAACATGCAGTCCCACATAATGGAGTATTAGATTATTACAAATCTCTGATGACTTTTGCCAAAGCATTGTATTCACTGTTGCAAGGAGCCCTACCAGTTGACCCAGAAAGACGGTTTCCTATTTGAAAGCCTGGCAACTGTCTGTATCAAGGTTTACCAAAGGATGACATTACTCAAACCTCAAATGAAAGGACTCTTTATCAAGTCCTCCTGATCTGTCAAGCACCAAAGTCTTTTTATCTTGGATCCATAGCTCCACTGTAAGAAAACATCTTTCCTCTTTTCCTCAATTTAATAGCTTTTTGCTACTAATATATTTTATTTTTAGACATAGGAACCAGTGACATACTTCTCACCTGAGTTTCAGACCAGAGATTTCTGTAATGTAGATTACAGAAAATTCCTCATAATATCTTTAAACTACTTCTTAGTGGGTAAAACCTTTACTCTGACCTGGCCTGCTCACAGCTGAACTCAACCTGTTTGAAAATTATTCAACAACTTTCCAGACATGCTATCAGTGAATTCCATCTTATGCTGATAAGAATTTTTAAAATGTCAAAGAAAGTCTTATTCCAGATTTCACTTATTTTTCCCATGTCTGGATTATAAGTTGCTTCCTACAAATACAAATCTACTTTGGCCCTCCATGCATCAAGCTTCAGTCCTGGCCACCCTGCACTGAGTCCAAGGCTTATAAAAACTTCTAATGTAAAACTTAATGTAACTATTTGTTTCGCTTGGTTTTGTCAGAAACGTATTTCACCGCCTTTCATTGGGAAATAAGATCTTTCTTAAAACCTGTCACACAACATGGAGAACACTATGATTGTGAATCTTCTCACTTTCATAGACATAAAATCAGCCAAAGAAGAGTCACCACTAAGTAGTGTGTGGTAGCCAGCAAGCACCTTGAAAGGTGGCCATTTCCATGTGGTTCCTTCTCAGCTTTCTGGGCTGGTCACTGAGTTGCAGTTCTAAATTAAGGGGGAGTCACCATCAAAAATCAAATAAAATTGAGTCTGTCCCAGCACTGCCCCCAGTTAAAGAATATCCCCCAGTGCATTTTTTTTCTATGAGAGTTCAAAGATACAATAAATCTCTTCCAGCACTAAAATATTAGAAGTGCTAATTGTTTACAAATTCTGAATCTGCTTCTATTCTCTCCACCAGCAGATTTAGGAGATGGAGACACAGAGAACTATACAGTGAGAAATCTTCGTGGGGAGATGGGAGGAGTAAGAAGTCCTACAAGGATGAAATCAGCCTGATTCTGCTGATGCTTGTTACGCCGTATTATGAAAGCAGATTCAAGCCAGTCCTATAAATAGCAAATCTAGGCTGTAAGAGTGTACTAGGACAGACAAAGTCTTCAATTATAAAAACAAAATGAGACAAAACAACTGAAGGCTTACCTGAGAGTCTGTAGTTTACAATCTGGGTGTTTCAAGGCTTCACACAATGACTTTACTCCATTATCCCCTATATCACTCCCTTTTAGGTCAAGATGCATCAGATTCTGGTTATGAATCAAAGAAGTAGAAATATCCTGATAACCATCAGAGAAAGTGATAAATTTCAACCTTCAGAAGAAAAATATACAGGAGATATTAGAAAAATCATTTCTCCTTGGTTACAGGATCCCTTTCTTTACAATCTAATTCCTGAATATAGTAATATTTTTATCTTATTTTTATCTAAAAAAATTAGGTTATGACTTCAATTTCTATCTATGTCCTGATAATTGATACTCCCAAGTTATTTTGCCTTAAGGGAAAAGAAGGTGATAACATCATGAAAAGCAGAAGAGGAGCCTCTGAAACTTATAATCCCAGGAATGACTATCAAAAATTATCAGGACCATTCCAAGTACTACAGTAACATTAATTTACAAGAGCCAAATCTTTAAATAATAGAAGGTTAATTCACAGTTAGCATCCACTATTTGTTGCTCAGTGACTTTGTTAGGTATACAAAGGCAGTCCAAGCAAAATAATGAAGTTAAATTTGCCATTTTGTCTTATTTTCTACCTCCTCAGCCCAAAATCTTGCTTTGTAACACCACCTTTCCTCCCTTCTGCCCACCACCCACCCCAGGCAAGTACACACGGGAAAATAAAACTTTTACCCATTTACAGCACTAACCATCCTCATCTAGTACAAGTGCCCAAATGGCACCACCTCACTTATTAGGGAAAAAGGGCCACACTAAGTAAGATCACATTAAGGTGGCACAGACTGAAACCAGTCATCATGGTGCCATCTCACTGACGCAACCCTCCCATTCTAAGAAAGGAAGTTTTTTTAACCCAGAAGGCAATGACTATTGTGAAGATCCAGATTGGTGACATCCAGTAAAGGGACAATTTGGGGAAAATATTTAGGGATGAGTGGAAAGGACTTCCAGGATCCCCTTAATCATAACACATATCCCATTGCCTTACCACATCTATATGCGAGACAAGACCTACTCTAGATGCTTGAAATCTGAGGTCAGAACTCACTAAAAACACTGAGATTGGGAGGAAAATATTTGGTGAGAAGCCAGTCCCCACCCCCCACCCAAAAGAACATCTATTTCCAGTGCTAATGAAAACAAAGATCTATCATTTGTTCAGCATTCAGTTCATACTAAGCAACAAATGCACCTTGCACACAGTGACAGGCACAAAATGCACTTGTTAAAACTCAACAAACTGAACATTATTTGTGCATTTTATTAAATGTAAATTTTTCCTCAATAGAGAAAAATTTAACAAGATAGTAAGTTCCAGAATATGTCCTTGAAAGTGTGTTAGTGACCTGCCTAGGCTTTTAGCTCTGTGCTCTTCATTTAGAAAGTTCCTATTCAAGCCCAAAAAACCCATGTGAACAGCTACTATGCCCTGTGGAATCACTGAGAACAAGTTAGTCATGATACCACGTCCCCAGTGGATTCCATTGTTCCTGTTCTTCGAGTATTTTACACAATGGATTACAAGCATTTGTTTAGCATTGGCTTCACCTAACAAGTATGAGTGGAAGGTGGGACACAGAAAGAAATTAGAATAACTCCATTAAATTTTCTCATACCAGACTTACAGTAGCTTTTGTAGTTTGCAGTCTGGGTGCATTAGTTCTTGATAAAAGATATTCACTGCTGATTTATCAAGGTTGCTATGGGACAGGTCCAATTCTCTCAAGTGTTCATTTGTATGAAGCACAGAACAGAGATCTTGCCAACAATGAGCAATGCGATCACCATCCCTTTGCATAAATAATTGAAAAAAGAAAAACAACACTGATTTTATTTCAGCCCAGGCAGCTCTCAGAAGATAGTATTGGGGTAAAAGTAAGTGTACTTTGGAAAGGCAAGAGCATCTAGTGTAGCTCCAATGTGGGCACAGTCACCAAGAAGTCTTTCTCTGGGCACTCCAGAGGCCTTATTTGTTCAATGGCTCTCCCACTTCCCATCTGCTCCCCTCAACACACACAAAATAAAAACCAGAGAGGCTTTACTTTACAGGAAGAGACTCAGGAGGAATAAGAGAGAAGTATTCAAATACTTGAAGAGCCAGTTATCAAAAGATAAAATAAAATTTGGTCACAAAGAATATGATTAGGATTAGTGGGTAGACATTAAGTGGTAGAGATTAAAAAACACAGGCCTGGCCGGGCGCGGTGGCTCACACCTGTAATCCCAGCACTTTGGGAGGCCGAGGCAGGTGAATCACGAGGTCAAGAGATCGTGACCATCCTGGTCCACATGGTGAAACCCCGTCTCTGCTAAAAATACAAAAAATTAGCTGGGCATGGTGGTGCGTGCCTGTAATCCCAGCTACTCAGGAGGCTGAGGCAGGAGATTTGCCTGAACCTAGGAGTCAGAGGAACCGAGATCGCGCCATTGCACACCAGCCTGGGTAACAAGAGTGAAACTCCATCTCAAAAAAAAAAAAAACAAAAAAAAAAACCACAGGCCTGAGCCCCAGGTCTACCAATTACTAGCTACATTATTTTAAGAGAGTTTCATCAATTCTATAAGTTCCAAGTTTTCGTCGACTATAAAATGGAAATGTTGTCTCCTTCCATGGGGTTGTGAAAATTTAATAGTGCATTTTAGATGGTACACAAAAAGCATTCTGTATATGTTAAATACCATACTATTTAATTATTAGGAATATCGTCAATAAACTCAAAGAATAATAAAGAATAAAACAGGGAACAACCTGGTGATTATAAACTCAACAATGGAGCAGTTCTGAGTCCCAATTCAGCTCTGTCACTCACTGAAGTGAGTTATTCTGGAAAATTTACTAACCCATGTGAGTCTCAGCTTCGTCATCTTGAAAAATGAAGATAATCATATCTATTTTTTAGGATTATTGTTAAGATTCAAAAAGGTAGTATATAAAAAAATGCTTAGCAAAAGAATGTTTCATGCTGTAAGTATTCCTAATAATCAGTAAATGTTATATACATGTTATATATAGATATTAAATATACATTATATTAAAATATATAAAAGTCTAGTGTGTTGCCTTATATATAATAGCTACTCAATAAATATTCATTCCCATATCTTAAATTGGAATGAATGGCAATTCATAGTGATGGTCTATATCACTTGAGGTCTTAAATTTATAAAAACAAGATAATAAATCAATCAAACATTCAAGTGTTTCCTATGTGTCAACACTAGATAAAATGGTAAACCATACAGAGATCTCCTGCTCTCATAAAATTTACAATATAGTTATATTACAGAAGAGACTGAAGTCACTTACAGTGTTTCTTTCAAAACGCTGGGTTCTCTGGCTCCTTATTTTAGCAATAATGCCAATTCTAGCACTAAATAACTCAACATAGGTAAGGAAAGCTAGCAGGAGAACTGACAATCTAGTGGCCAGAATACTGTTCTAACATTTACCATAAGGCATAAAAGATGTTTTAATGCCCTGGGTTAAATAGCATCTTCTTTAAACAGAACTCTTAAGTCTGAGTTAAGAAAACTGACTGAAGATTACTCACAATTTTCCAAAGAGGGTAATGGTCATAGCATCAGGGCCCACAATTTCTACCACCACAGTTTGGAAATAAATAAAATGTATGCTCTTATAAGAGAGGAATGCTTCTGCAATTATATACAATGGCACTCAACAGCTTGGGTAAAGTTAGCAAACCAAGGAAGTACAATCAGATGTGTTACCTCAGTCAAGTTATATGCCTTCTTGGTACCACAATTTTGTCCTAAGTAAAATGGAAATAATAGCAACTACCCCATAGGACTATTGGAAGACTAAATAAGATCAAGGACTTAAAAGACTGCCAGGTATGTGGTAAGCACTCAGCATCTTAACTAATATTTCATGTGGGCTTGAATCAAGAAATTTTCTAGGTATACATCTCTGAGTCTCAGTTTTATAAACTTAAAAATACAGATGGTTGCCAACATTAAATTGGATATTATGTTAAACATCCGGTTCACTATACAACTATATAGCACATAGGAAGTCCTCAATTAATTTTATATACATCTGGGAATGAATTCCATAGTTCAATTCTTTCCTCAGATTTAGATTACTAGAGTCAGAAAAGCCAACTTAAGGAAGGAGATAGAGTAGAATAATATACATAAAACATTAAGGTTCATTTCTTTTTTTCAAAAATATTCATTTAGCACCTACTATTTCTTACTAACCTCCAATGTCTCCAGATAGGCATTAAAGGGCTGAGACCCTTCACAAACTACAACACAAAGACCAACCAATGTCTCAGGAATGGGGAAAGTGAGCTAGGTCAGCCAAGTATACAGGAATGTAATACAGAGAGATAACCTGTGTTTACCAGGTTCAGCAGGAAATTTCTGGTTCCTTATTCTTCTGGATGGCATTATCTTTAGACATTAAAGATACTTCCTAACATGGATGGAAGTTTGTACCAGGCTACATTCCTCCTTGAAGAATGAAGTGCTCATTCCCCGAGTTGTCGGAATTGTCAACAATTTAGAGTCCCCAGCCCAGTCTCTCTCCTGGAATTGCCTTCAGGTCAAAAAAGTCATTTCAGGAAAGTTTTTGCACACTCATCACCAGTAGTCATGACTGGTCAATAAAGGGTTTAAATGCTTGGCCTCCCTGCCTCAAGATGGGACAAATCTAAAGGGTTATCTCAGCTCTGGGACCTCAGTCAAACAACTCCTTCCTCTGACAAAATCTACTTCTCTCCCTTACAAGGCACTTCTAGGAAATGGTCCTAACACACTTACCAAGTGTTAGTTGGGAGGCTTGTTTTTAACTTCTTCTCAAATACCATAGTTACAGACAGCCTGATGGTCTGCAAACACCGGCAGTGCTTAAGACAGAAGGAAGATACAAGCAAATGGATTTTCTCAGAAATATTAATGGCAACCTTTTGGAAATATCTCATTGACTGGCTTATAAATGCTTTATCTTGAGTCTCATACAGATAGTGAAACAACTCCAGAAATCCCAGATGTGTTGGAGAATATTCACTTTTTCCTAGTACTTCCATCCACTGAAGTAACTTTGATTTTATCTTCAGTGATATTTTACAGTTAAAAGTCTTCTCCAGTTGTTTTACTCGATTTTTATTCAAAAGGCCAAACAAAAAGCACTTGGTCTGTGTCAAATGGGGGTCTTTATGACTTGTGCTTTGAAGTAATGACTTCAAGTCTTCAAAAGGATGGAAGGAAGGGTCCCCAGATTCCCAATTGCCTTTCAACATATAGAACATAGCTGCAAAAAACTCCTGAACATGAAGGTGGGTGAATACATAGCAGTTTTCATATTCTGCATCCTTTTGAAGAATATTCCTGTCCAGAAAACTTGAGACATCAGATTTAGTTAACCCAAGCCTTCTGAGATTTTCTCTGTAAAACACATAAGTCATAGTCCATATTCCTTTGGCAGCAACATGGCACAGGCTTCTCAGCTGGGCTTGGTTGGGTAGACTAGGAGAGCATCCATCCACTGGTGTGAACAAGCTAGAGATATAGCAGGTAAATAGAGCCGTGGTTGTTTGGCAGGTCAATGTGACATCACCACCCTTCTCCATTTGCTGCTTCAGACAAGTACAAGCGGCCAGGCACACCAGGGGGACTTGGCACATGCTAAACAGCATCTCATTGTTTTTTAGTGAACTGAATGCTTTCTTGGCCCACCTCTTATTTTCAAAAAACTGGTAAATATACTCCTCTCTTGCACCCTCAGACATTCCTAGTAGCTCTACATAATGGTGATTCTTCAACAACTGCTTTAGTCTCTTAGAAGCTGTGAGTCTCGTTGTCACCAATAAGGATGCCTCAGGGAGCATCACTTTCCTCAGCAAACTACTCATGAGGAAGGACACTGGGTGTTCTTGAGTCCAGTCCTCACACAGTGCAAACTCGGGTTCTTCAAAGGCAAAGTTCAGTTCATCGAAACTGTCAATAATAAACAGGAGGCTACTTTGCTGGGATAGGATCCCTTCAATGGGGCCTTCTGTGCTGGGCCAGTCTTTTGATATCAGTTGAGCAAAGCTTCTCTCTTTCAGTTGGTTAATTTCTCTCCCATTGAGATAAAAAACATACGTAAACCTCTGCTGGTAGAGATTGCCCTCTGCCCAATCCAACATTGCCTTTCTCACCAAGATTGTTTTCCCAACACCAGCAGCTCCCTGAAGCACCACTGTCTGTGGCTGTTCACCGGTTTTGACATCCACATCAAACAACTGTTCCAACAGTTTTCTGTCTTCCTGAGTAATTCTATGATGGAAATCTTTGGGCTGTCCAGCCAAAGATTTCTTGTCCCATGCAATGCGAAATTTTTCCTTTATTTGAATTCTGTATTCTCTTCCATCACCTAAGTCAGAATGGCATAGGTTAAACACACAAAAACAAAGACACATGCTTAAAACATATTCTATGAAATGCAATGTCAAGAATTCCAAACTTGGAGTTAGGAACAAAAAAAGAATATAGGGTGAAGTCAGAGCTGGTTTAAATTTTTAAAAAATTATATAAATCAAACAAAAATATTCCTATAGATTTAAAACCTGTTTTAGATGCTGTAACAAAAACCAGAATTGACAATATGGAAAAATGAATTTGTGATGGGAAATAAAAGCCAGATACACTCTAGAAATATTTTTTCTTCTTTCCACTTTTCCTTCTACAGAGATAAAAGGTGATAGACATGGAGAACAGAGTTGTCACACAGATAAAAAAGAACGGAAGCAACCATTAACAATAAAAGGGAAGATCCCAAGATAGACCTGAATCTACAGATCAAAATAATTTACTTTGTACAGGTAAAAAGTCAATAAACATTGAATCATAGCTTAAATAATATTTTGAAAAAGAAAAATATCCTAAGTGAAATAGAATGAAATATAATTCATCTTTACCTGTTTAAGTCTGATCCTGTAGAGATCCTTTAGATCTCTAATAAAAGGACAGGATCGCAGGGAAGACTTCTCTGACCCTCACTGCTAGACTACTTCCCCCTTTTATATATTCTCAAAACAGTACATTTTCATTCACATACATGTCACAAGCTATAATTACTTAATTTTTAAAATAAATGATGCACTTGGCTAGGGGTTTCATCATTGCATGTTCAGTGTCTAACACATTCCTTGCATACAAGAAGTGTCAAATATATTTGGGCAATAAAAAATGAGAGAATACAATAATATAATTGAGTACTTTACAACTTTGGTGGAATAAAGAATAACTATAGATACTGATATCCCCCCAAGTAATAAATAAAAAAGATAACAAGTTTCTGGGAATTATGTACAATATGATCCTCTCCTGGGGAAAAAAAAATGAACCAACTTTATGTATCTGAAAACCTATACCATACCACCAATATATTAACACTGGTTATTTCTGAATCATGGGATTGGGCATGGGGAGTGGGAAGAGTGAGAAACTCACTTTATGTACTTTTTAAATAATATTTGAATCTTTTTTTTAAAAAAAAACCTCATTTTGCTTATGTGAAATTTAAAAACAAAGCTAAAACATAAACCAATGATAACTAAAAAATTCTGAAAAGCAAAAATAATGATTGTCCAAGCCGGGAGAAAAAAAAAACACTATTTACTCAAAATTAAAACCTACCATGAAACCATAGTAATTCAAACAGTGTGATGTCAGTACATTCATAGAGAAAATAATCAGTAAATCAATGCTGTACTTCTTATTTTCTATTTTGTACTTATAGTATTTTCCAAAGTTTCTATAATACAGTTTACTTGTATCACAATTTGCCAAATAATTTGAAGACATTTATTAGCTAGCTGTGTGCAATTATCTGAACATAAGAAGGAAATACCCATTAGGTTTGAAATAATAAAACAAAATTTATTAACCATGAGTTTCTCATACCACAAACATAGACTTCTTTATATTGAATCAGAAATTAAGGTCACAGTGGGAAATTATATTCAAGGTCATTTAATGTCGAAAGAAATTTTTGAGTGCTTAGGATGAAGTTTTCAATTATTTCTTGAATGAAATTAAGTGGCTTGTTAGAATGTGACTGGGTTAAGAATAAAGGTTTCTCACGTGATCCAATTTTCTTTCTATTGTAATTCCATTTATATAAACTGGAATTAAATTACATAGAATTCAAAACAAAGTGGGGAAATGGTGTTAGACCAATGGTCTGAAATCCCCAACCTTTTGGGTACCAGGGACAAGTTTTGTGGAAGACAATTTTTCCATGAATGTCGGGGGCAGGGGTGACAGGGTAGGGAGGGGAGATGGTTTCAGGATGATTCAATTACATTTCATACATCATTAGATTCTCATAAGGAGCATGCAGTGTAGACCCCGGATGTGCAGTTCACAATAGGGTTCCTGCTCATATGAGAGCTCAGGTGGTAATCCTCACTCGGCCCACCACTCACGTCCTACTATGTGACCTAGTTCCTGAGGGGCCACCAACCAGTAAGAGTCCATGGCATAGGAGTTGGGGACCCCTGTGTTAACTACAACTGACAAGATCTAGTTCTAGAAATCAGTTTTTATATGAACCAGTTTGTCACCACTCTTAGAATTTAATTAGAGCACCATCTTTAAAGAAAGAAAGGACATGTGATAAACTGAAAGTTTCTTGCCAACTCAGTGAACTCTTTAGTCCATAAAATATAAACATTAATATACCTTTGTGCATCAGCCCTTCAACTTTTGAGCGGGCATTCTAAACACTGCCCTCTTGAGGACCTGAATTAACAAGGCCCTGATTCTGACTTTAGCCAGAGAGTCAGTTTTGTTAACTCTTTTGGGGTGACATTCAGGGAACAGGTGGGGTATTAGAAGAAGTTAGCAAGAGTTGGCCAGGTGCGGTGGTTCATGCCTGTAATCCCAGCACTTTGGAAGCCCGAGGCAGATGGATCACTAGGTCAGGAGATAGAGACCATTCTGGATAATACTGTCAAATCCCGTCTCTATTAAAAGTACAAAAAATTAGCCAGGCATGGTGGTGCGTGCCTGTAGTCCCAGCTACCCAGGAGGCTGATGCAGAAGAATCGCTTGAACCCGGAAGGCAGATGTTGCAGTGATCCGAGATCATGCCACTGCACTCCAGCCTGGGCAACAGAGCGAGACTTCATCTCAAAAAAAAAAAGAAAGAAAGTTAGCAAGAATTGAACAATGTTCTCTGGGAGATAAATCCCCATCCTGTATAAAAACTTTGAATGCCTCCCCAAACTGACGAAAGGCCTAATTACTCACCCAGCACTGCCTCCTGATCTCTTTGTGTGTCTTCAGCGGTGGCATCATCTGGTCCTATACTCTGGGCCGACCCTGCAACAGATTCCAATGGAATTTTGAGATTTAACAAAAACAAAGTGAGCTTTCATGGTGGCCAGAACAGAGGCCAGCATTCTCATCAGTGGTACAATTCTATGGCTATCTGGATTTAAGAACACTAGAGCTGCCAGAGCCTCCGACTCCATAAGCTTAGCTAGCAGAAGACACAATGTGATATGGACAACACTGAAGTAGGAGACCTCTTGCCCTGGTTTCCACCCTGTAACTAACTCCAGGGCAAATAGTGTAGTGTAAGCCTCAGTTTCCTTATCTATATTGACTTCACTAGGATATGGTATGGTACAAAGGAGAAAATGGATATGAATATTTTATATATGCATATATACTTTAATATATATATATAACTGTAAAGCCTTGTACATGAGTAAGGAATTCTAGATGTCTATAATATTTCATATCTGACAATGACTAAAAATACTGGCTTGGCTTATGTCCAATAATAATTTTTACTTCATTTCTCACATTTCAGCAAATATGTTAAATCATATTTGATTCTTCAAAATGTTGCCTAACTTAAAACTTGTAGTTTAGCGAAGGCACTTTATGGGACAATTCCTATCACTTAATTCCTTTAATCATTTCAATTAATATAAGATGGATGAATTGCCCCCAATTAAGGAGCTAGGCTGAGTAGCAGTATTCAAAACCCTTCTGCCTCTCCTTCCTCAAACAATCCAACAAGCTCCCCATGCACAAGACCACCATGGAGCTTCTGTCCCCCAAAATGGTTTAATCCCTAAATGCCTCTTAAAGAATCATTCCAATGGGCTCCAGGAAACACTTCCTTCCCTCCTAGCCCCTAGAATCACTCACGGTTGATCTCTGCTTTTGCTCTCTCACACAGATTTTTCAGATTCATCTTGCCAAATATTTTGAGAGTCACACTCCAGGCTTTCTCTCCTGGATAATATTTCTTTATCAAGTTGGCCAGGTCCTCCCGCCTGGCCTTCCTCACTTCTGTCCAGGGTATCAGGCCGTGCTCAGGTTCCATGGTCTGCTTTAGAAACAACTTGAATGTATTTAATTCCTCTTTGTTTAGCTCCTCCAAATACAATAGCAGCCCAAGATCAGCAAAGAAGGAAGATGATGATGAATCTGCCATCTTGTCCTTGGATTAATATTCAGGCCTCTGAGGGAGAAAAAAATAACCAAAAGCACACGAAATAAATGGGACACAGGGAAAAGACAGATTTCAAAATGAAATACCTATATAGATTAACAAACATTTGGAGAAGTCCACTGTATTAGGTTTGGTACTGACCTAGTGCCCTCTGTGATACATCTTCTTTCACAAAGCATTCTTCTAATATAGACCACTATACTGAATATTTATTCCACCTTCTTATGATTTATTTCCAGCCCTACCACTTATGAGCTATAAAAATCAAGATAATTTCTCTTTTTCAACTTCAGTTTACTCTTATGCTAAGTGGGGATAGCAGAGCCAACCTCTAGTTTCTGTATGGATCAAATGAACTAGGGTTCATATTTAACCTGGCACAGAGCCAGCTCTTCCTAAGTATTGCTAACTGTCCATCCTTATCCCTTCTAATCACTTAATCCATACTTTTCCAAGCACCATCAAGTTTTCTTAATCTCTTTCGGTGATTTGCCTGAAGAGACAGAGCTAGTAAGTGGTACAGCTGGAACTCAACTTAGATCTTTCACTAAAATTCCTGCCCTTTCCAGTCTTTCATAATGTCTCCCCCATTCTTGCTAATATGATTGGAAAAGAGAGATGGATGGGGGAAATAAAAGTATTCAGACGGCAGAGTTCTCCTTTTAAACAGAAGGTGAATTATCTCAAAACTTATATAACCTGGATTTTCTCCTGCAGTAATTGACGGCTATCAGCTGTTTTAAGCTTGTTTGTTTACACAGTAAAAACATTCCAGATTACAGATAAATCTGACAAAAACAAGTCCTATAGTAATTTTTTTAAAGTAAAAAGGAAAAGATTTGAGGAAATTTGAAAGAATAACACTGAAATTTTTCCAGGACATACAGAATATGGTAGGTGAGGGAAAGCAAGGCATAGAACACATCTTCAATTTCCTGTCTGGAAATCAACAGATATTACTGCATGTGTGTCCATCTTTATCTTTGTCTTTCCTGTAACAAAGGAGGGGAGCTCTCTTCCCTTTTTTATAGCTTATCCCTCCACCTGTGATCTAAATCTCATAAGCAATTGTTCCCAAAGGGATTTAATCAATTAGAAATCTATCTTCTTTTTCTTCAACTTCTCCCTGTCCACTAAGTCCTTCTCATTAGCACTTAAATGTGCCCAAATCTTACTTAGTCTTTTACAAATATTCCCTTTACTCCAAATCCCCTTCATCTTCATAGTCAACCTTCTATGGTCTTCTATACTCTATCACCTATTATATTATACCTCCTCAATCCATTGCAATCGAACTTTTGCTACCACAATATCACTGAAATAACTCATACCAATAACCTCCTTGTTGCAAAATCCGAGGAGCATTCTGAGATACAAATTTCCTATCTGTAAACAGGAATAGCAAGAGTACCTACCTATGCAAGAATTAAAGAAGCGAATCTATGCCTCTAACTTTAACAAGGTGCCATGTGTTAATAATACTATTTTAACAATGCCTTACATCTGGATATTCACATGCCTCTTTGCTATCATAATCCCACACTTTCTTCATTTTCCTCCTCCTTTCTGGGTATCCCTGTGAGCCAAGATCTATGTGGCTCTGAATCCTATTGGCTTTCTGCTACATAATATCTATAATTATAATAGAGTACAATATACTTTAGTCTCCTTCCCAGCGGTTTTATGCTGTTCTTGAAGGAATTTGTTGTTTTGTTTTGTATTTTTACATTTTAGAAAGAGGAACACATGTTTGGCACTGTTTCTCTTATATGAAGGCATTCATTCATTCAAAAATGCCCTGAACTAAAATGGGAACCAATGATCTATGAGGACTTCAATTTGCAAATTTATTGATATAAATTTTTGCCTATAACAAAGCATATTTGTTCAAAATAATTAGCTCATATTAATAATGACTGTATTTGTGAGGACCTAGTGTGTATAAGCTCTTTATAAAAATTTTCTCTAGTCTTTAAAACAGACCTGAAAGTTTGATTTTATCCAAATTTACAGATGCAGAGTCTCAGAAATTCAGAAACTTGCCCAGGTTATAGAGTTGACAAATGACCTATCAAACTACAAAGCTCATTCTCTTTCTACTACATAGCACTGCCTTTTAATTTCACTTCATTTTCCTAGTGAAATTAAAAGGAAATTCAGAGTTATACAAAATCTGTGTGGCCATGCTCTGTGATAGCAGACCCTGTGCTGAACACCAGACTAGAAGAGGAAGACCTCTAAATAGAGCATGACAATCATCATGACTAGAGTAGCTCTAGGAGAACACAAAGGAATAAGGGATTCTTGCCTAGAGAGGGTAGAGACAAGGAGGTCTCAGGGAAGTAAGATTTGACTTAGGAAGCCAGGTGTTTCCACCCTTTTCATACAGTCCTGACTGATTTCCTTTCTTGGTCACTCTAATTAAATCTCCTATAGCAGTTTCCAAACCTCAGCACTACTGACATTTTAGGCTGAGATTGGTACTACTTCATTGGCATCCACACTATATGTGCATTATATGTTTAGCAGCACTCATGGCTTCTACCTATTTGATGCCAATTAGAACCTTGGATCTTCTACAGTTGTGACAAACAAAAATGTCTCTAGATATTGTCAGACATCCCCAGGGCAGCAAAATGCCCCCAGTTGAAAAAACTTCAAGAGTCTAACCTCTACTGCTAGGTGCACAACTTCTTTTTTGGGAGATGGAGTCTCTCTCTGTTGCCCAGGCTGGAGTTCGGTAGCAGATCTCAGCTCACTGTAACCTTTGCCTCCCCGCCTGGGTTCAAGTGATTCTCCTGCCTCATCCTCCAGAATAACTGGGACTTCAGGTGCCAGCCACCATGACTGGGTAATTTTTTTTTTTTGGTATTTTTAGTAGAGACAGGGTTTCATCATGTTGGCTACTCTGGTCCCCGACTCCTGACCTCAAGTGATTCACCCACCTGGGCCTCCCAAAGTGCTGGGATTACAGGCGAAAGAGTGAGCCATGGCATCCAGCCTAAGTGTACAACTTTTATCATGATAATTAAAGAAAAAGAGTAGACAGCCAAGAAAAAATGTTCTCATTAGATTTTAATATATTATAGAAGAGATACCATAATTGGGAGGAAATGATTCAGTGTCATTTATTAGGACAACTTATAAACCATTTTGACAAGAATTAATTAGTATCCCCAAATGCCCATCAATGATAAACTGGATAAAGAAAATGTGGCACATATACACCATGGAATACTGTACATCCATAAAAAAGGATGAGTTCGTGTCCTTTGCATGGACATGAATGAAGCTGGAAACCATCATTCTCAGCAAATTGACACAAGAACAGAAAACCAAATACCACATGTTCTTACTCATAAGTGGGTGTTGAACAATGAGAACACATGGACACAGGGAGGGAAACATCACACACTGGGGCCTGCTGGGGGGTGGGGGAGGCTAGAGGAGGTATAGCAGAGGATAGGGGTATTGGGGAAGGATAACATTATGAGAAATATCTAATGTAGATGATGGGGGGAAGGGATGGATGCAGCAAATTACCATGGCATGTGTATACGTATGTAAAAATCCTCCACAATCTGCACATGTACCTCAGAACTTAAAGTATAATAAAAATAAATAAATAAATCTCAGATATAGTAAGTCAGTACATCATTAATCTTCAAATCAGGGAGGAAAAAACAGCAAAGAATATTTATCACAACTTAGGAAAGGAGGGACTTACCAGTTTGGACACAATAAGGGAATTGACCAAGAGTCACAATGAATATTTGAAGATGTATTGTTAACTATGCAGAAATTAAAACCTCTTGTCTTTAGAATTCAAACACAAATGGTCAACCAAAAACAGCAAAAATGTTTACAGGCAAATAAACAGCTGAAGTGTAAATTAATAAAACCACTTTAAAACTTTTTGTATTAACTACTAAAATTGGAGATGTCCACCCAGAGCTAAATTTTGGTTTCTAACTGTACCATTTACCAATAAATGGAATCAGGGCTCCTCTCAGAAACTGCCAATTCTAGGGCTGGGACAGGGAATAGATAAGATGAGCCTATAGCATCTCATAGTGCCAGAAACAAGGAAAAGAAAATAATGGTGTATGTCAAAAAGACCCAAGATACAACCAGAGATCCCAATGGCCTAAATAAAATTACTGGATTATAGCCCAAAGTACAAAAGAAACATCCATGAGTCTGTACTGGGATAGAAAAATGTCTGAATAAATGAGAGAAAAGAGCCAAATCTCTCTGAGAGAAGATTTCCAAATATTTTATGTAGGATATTCTCTCCTCCAGGAAGTGGCTCTTAATCCAACTGTACCCTACTTCCAAGAGCATTGACTGTGCTTATTGATTTCCTTCCAAAGAGAGGAATATGGGAGTAGGTGGGGAGAGTGGAGAAATTTTTTAGTGAGAAACCTGACAAACACTGCCCCAAGATAAAGGGTACTATTATCATCAGTAAGTCACTATGATAATATGTACTATTGATATTGTGAAAAGAATGGCATGTTACCACTATGATATTCATTCCCCAAACACATATCTTTTCAGGAAAAGAGAAAGAATGCTATGGAAAAACTAGTGAAATCCAAATTAAGTCCAACTTAATTGCCTTATTGTATTCATTGTGACAATTATACCATAGTAATGCAAGATATTAAAAACTGAAGAAATTGGGTGACAGGTATACAATAAATTTCTGTAATTCTAAAAAAAACACCTATTCTAAAATGGTTATTCCTTAAAACTGGAAATATACATACACCATGACATAGCAATTACAGTCCTTAGAAAATATCCAATAGAAATATGTGTGTAGGTAAAGTAGGAGATATGCAATAACTACAGAACCACTGCTTTTAATTCCTAAGCACTAAAAAAGACCCAAGAGTCCATCTATAGTAGAATCAATCAATACACTGTGGTAAATTCATACAATGAAATCCCAAACAGCAAAGAAAATATATGATTGCAGCTAGAATATGCCACTAGAATAAATCTCATAATTAGTGAAAGAAGTCAAATCAAACAAGATTATGAAGTAACTATCATAAAAGTCAG